CAAATTGGGCGCCCACCCCCCTAAGGTCGGCCGCCCGGGGACCATATTGTCCCCCTCACCCCCACCCCCCCCCCCCCGCCCCCCCCCCCTTCGCTACGCTACTGCTGTAATGTGGCCTTGTTGCCTGCGAGATTCGTTTCATTTAGGCCGTTACAGATTTAAATGGGTTTATTTTGTCCAAATTTGGTTCTTTTACCTGGCTTTCTTTTGACAATTGTCAAAAAAAAAAAACTTACTCTACTCCTTTAATTTACATACATTTATGCTCATTATCTTATCTCTAGTAAAAGATCGTTATTAGAAACGGTGTTAAATAAGTTTTTTCACCTTTTTAGTATTTTAAATATGGTAAAAGATATACGAGTAACTCGAGATATGAATTTAAAAAATAATAAAAATTGTAATCTATTTTTTTCTTTGATATTTCTTGATTAGATTAATGTTAGCTACGTCGACCCTATTCCTCCTCCCCCCCCCCTTCCTCCCCTCCGCCCCTCCTGGATAAAAATTATTTAGTTTTATAACCGGATTATAACTTCTAAACAATTATCTGCGCCTAAGTCGAGTCTGTGTTCGTTTCTCCTGTATGAAAACGTCAGTGATTATAGTTCGCAGACACCATGTTGAAGTGTAGATCAAATACAGCGATAAAAGCATAAGTAAAGATGTGTTTAAAACAGCTGGGGACAGCCGTGTGGGAACTATCAACACAACAGATTACCTGGTATTTTTATGACTATATAAACTATTATAACGTGAAGGTAATGTACAGGCAAGACAAGTTAAAGGGGGGGGGGGGGCGACGACACAGGGAGGGGGGGTGGGGGGACTGATCGGATAAGTTCTGGGGTTAGTAAAGGGGGAGGTGGGGTGTAAAACTTACGCGTCATTGCAGCTGTCTAATGATGTCTATTCAAGATGGCCAGCCAATCAGATGAGTTCAATAGTGGGGAGCGGGATCAGTTCAATAGTGGGATGGGGGGGGGATGTTCCGTGCTAGGTCTGGGGTTTTTATTGCTAATTTTTTTAGTACTTGTATGTGCGAAAATGTCGAGGAACATAGTGGATTGTGGCAATAATGGAATATAGTGGATTGTGACAGTGGTGGAATATAGTGGATTGTGGCAGTGGTGGAACATAGTGGATTGTGGCAGTGGTGGAACATAATGGATTGTGGCAGTCGGTGGAACATAGTGGATTGTGGCAGTGGTGGAACATAGTGGATTGTGGCAGTGGTGGAACATAATGGATTGTGGCAGTGGTGGAACATAATGGATTGTGGCAGTGGTGGAACATAGTGGATTGTGGCAGTGGTGGAACATAGTGGATTGTGGCAGTGGTGGAACATAGTGGATTGTGAGAGGAACCTCGAGGGTTCGAACTCGAGACTTTTCGGTTTAGCAACCATTAGGTTTACCAACTCGACCACGCCGACCCCATACTTTTAGGGATCAAGCGATGTCTCGCGTCGTTGTCTACTGGAAACTAAAACTTCTTACAATTCTCTCGTGCGCTTCTCTGTAAAATATAAACTCTCATTTCTGTAATCCTGTCAATCTACCCCCCCCCCCCCCCAACTCATTACATCATACACACAATCACAATGCTTGTTTATGAAAATTAAACATCATAAAAACAACATAAAATATCAGCCCGTAGTTGTACCCTCGATAGTTCATTAAAAACAACTAAACAAAGACAGACAGGTTTTTAAACAATTTGTTTTTAACTACACACATCCATCAACTTCATGTCTAGCAAACAGAGATTTTTGTTTTTTGTTTTTCTTGGATTTGAAAGAAAAAACAACAAGGAGCATTAAAAAAAAACTAACAAAAAAAAACCGCGGTGTAAACACTTTTGTACTGTGTACTTTATCGTCGCCCTCAGTTTATGATTTGCACTTGGTTGGCAGGTAAAGTAGAAGGTTGCTTAGGTTTAAAGTCTGCTTCGTAGATACGGTACACAACATGTTACTGCAACCACCTGGTTCTACAATGGGTAGGGATGGGGGGGGGGGGGTGTTCATAGAGACATGGGTAGGGGTGTTCATGGGAGGACAACGTGGGTAGGGGTGGGGCTGTTCATGGAGGGAGAAACGGGTAGGGGTGGGGTTGTTCATAAAGAGAGACATGGATGGGGGGGGGGGGGGGTGCTTATGGTTCACCATCGTTGGCTAGCTGATCAAGCGATCGATAGTATTCAATTTTGTAATCTCCCCTTATATTATTGAATTTAGTTACCTTTTAAATAAATTTTGATTAATGTTATGTATAACAAGATTTAAAAAATGATATTCTTGAATTGTTCTCGGAGACGAATGTATCTGGAAAACAAAATAGATGCATTAAAATTGGGTTTAAATTGAGACATTGTGATCTAAATAAAAGTTTATAAAATGTGTGGGAGGTGAATAAATCGACATAATAAAATTAGTATTTTTTTAAAAATATAACAAAACTTGTTGCACTTTAATAAGTATATATATATATATATATATATATATATATATATATATATATATATATATATATATATATATATATATATATATATATATATATAATAAACATGTGTACGCATGTATTTTTTACATTTACTTCATTTACTTTCTGAATATCAATCAATGTAGGCCTATATAAAATTGTACATGAAACGGTTTATTAGTCTGCTATTAATTAAAACCCCTATTTTTTTTTCAAATGGAGCTTGTGGAAATCATTAAAACAAAATAGAAAATCAAGCCTGCTTGAAAGTTTGTGTAACTCAAGGGGAAACGACCGTAAAAAGAAACAGATTTTTTGCCTCATTGGAGTTAGTTATCCTGACAGCGGAAAAACTCAATATTCTTTCAATGACTTATGATATGTATGTAAATATATATATATATATATATATATATATATATATATATATATATATATATATATATATATATATATATATATATATATATATATATATGTGTGTGTGTGTGTGTGTGTGTGTGTGTGCGCGTGTGTGTGTATTAGTGTGTGTGTGTGTAATGGTGTATGTGTGCGTGGGGGGGGGGGGGGGGGTGACTCCATGAGTTACACTGTTACAGCACCACCGCCATCTTAGCAAATCACACCACAGCGGTTTAACTTGTACCTAGATCACTTCAAAAAGTAGGCTAGCATAAATGTGTTGTCTGTATACGTTTTTAGACAACAACACAGGACCTAGGCCTAACACCAACTATCTCCCCAAAGCAAAGAGTTAAGTTTAGTTAACATTTTTGTAAAGTCTAAAATCAAAAAGAATTTGACGACAATAACAATTTTTGGCATTTATTTGAAAAAAAAATGAATATTGAATCCTATTTCAAATGATAACGATACTAAATATGCATCAAAATATTTTATTTTTTAAAATTTGTTTATATCCGTCTCTAGATTCCGCGTCTTATCACGTTTTTAATCTACATCAGATGTTCCGGAAATGTGCTTTACGTATTTTGTTTATGTGCACACCAGGAAGCTTACAACAGAGAGCTCTTTGTAGTGTGAAAGCGAATGTTGTCTCATCGCCATGGAAAATGGTGAACAGCAGGAGGTTTACAGGAAGTTTATTGAACAATTTTGTGCAAAAATTAATAATTTAACACCAGAAGAACAAGAAGCACCTTTTAGACTAACTTCCTTGTACTTAGTACCTTCCGAGGTTGAGGCCGAATGTCTGGAATGGATACGACGCTATCTTTCACTCAAGTAAGTTGCAGAACAGTTGGGTGTTGTCGTTGTACTGCACTTTTTTTTTACTTTCAACTTAGTTTGTTGACAAAAAAACAAAACTATCAATATTTTGCTCATTTTCTACTTCTATTACCCGTTCACTTTAAAGAAGCTTCACGTGGATCTTGTAGTAGATCTAGAATCTATGTAGATTTCTAACTAGATCAGGTATGACAGAGTCATGTGTGTAGTAGTAGTAGGCCTAAGTCTCAAGTAATAGTAAGGAGATCTCTGTCTTACACTCTTAACCTCTCAAAAAACATTTCTCACTTTACTAGATCTAGATCTACTATAACTAGTATAGATTTAGATTCTAGATCTAAACTTACTAAAGTTATTAGGGAGCCTATAATTATGCCTAAAAGAATAGTAAAATGTTATGATTTGTATTTTTAAGTTTGCATATCATGTAGAATGTAGGCCTACCTACATACACTACATAGCTTAATTTGATTCAGCTAATAAAAAGTCCTAGATTTTCTAGATCTAGGACCACACGTTATGTGCATGACCTAGTTTTCATGAAATTAACATACAAGAGTCAGTGATAAATTGTATGTGTTCTGTAGCAAAAATCTTAAAGTGAAGTAGTATTTCAAGAACTAGACTATATTTGTATTAACAACCACTAATTCTTCTTTCTGAACTTTCTTGCAAGTACTCAATAAAATACTTATATAAATTTAGTGTGAATAGTCAATTTATTTGATTTGGTTTTTTTTCTTCGTTCTTAATTTTAGTGTTGGGTTTCCCTTTAACCCAATTAAGCATACATGTCTACCGGTTATGCGCCATTCAGGCAGTTGACTTTGATTTCAGCCTGCTTTTCTTTTTGGATTTGCTTCCATATTGACATATTTTTATGGGCGGTGGGGATGAATTTTAGAAAAAAAAAAACAATATATTTTTTTTTTTAATATTATAAATATGTTGAGATGTTAGGGTACCATCATATTTGAGTCCATGAGAAAATTCTTCAAAAACTTGCATTTCTAATTTAGAATTAAAATCAATGTATTTCTGGCAAAGAAAGAAAGATAATTCATTTCTGTATACTGTATAGTATGAGCTGTGTTTTCATTCATTTGAGTGAGGACAATTCTCAAAGTAAATAACAAACAATAGCCGCAGCGTGATGTTTTGATATATTATTGTGTTTTTATCTGTTGGTTCTCTCTTCAGCGACTGCCCCAGTGGATTGTTATCCCAGCTGACGAGGGCTATTTTTACAAACTTTGATGACTGTGTCCAGCTGTCTGAATACTACACCCAGGCTTTTGATATTAGCTCCAATAATCAAGATGCCAGTGATAACAGTCAAGACAGCTCAGAAGATGATATCGTTGGCAACATTCGACCTCCACGTAAGTCTTATTTGTCATCTTTCTTCTTTCACTGATATCTACTTTGTTGTCTAAACTTTACTTAAACTTGTATTTTATTGTTTAACACAAAGAATGGAGGTTATTTTTAACACAGTAACATCCTTGTGCACAAACTCACAGACATGTTCCTAAACTTCCTAATAAGAATTTATTTTCTCTTTTACCAAAGTTAACCTTGTGGCTTTATTTATTCACCTCACTCAAATGTATAATTCTTGGTCACGATTCTAGAGTTGGATGCAAATAAATTGTTGGATGCAGTGATCTCCCATGTCCATGCAACAGTGAAAGAATGGAACACAAAGCCCCCAGTCATGCTACCCTCCTCCTGTAAGCTCCATGTTTTCTCCCATGCCATTAAAAATACACGGCGCAAGATGGAGGATAAACATGTTGTCATCACTGACCTGAACGTACTTTATGATTTAAAGGTAAATTTATGTGGCAGATTAACTTATTTGTCACAATAAATATCAAATTCTTGACTTTGTTTTAAAGTTGGCTTCTAAAACATTTTTTTACATCATTGCGCCATGATTTTTTAAGTCGTTTTAAAAATTTGTAACAGTCTCTCTAATAATACAATGATTCATTTCTAATTTTTTAAAAGATTCAAACTCTTGTCTTTTGTGATTTATCATTAAACAAATTGTAATTTCTTGTGTGCCTAGGATCATCCCCCGCAGTCTTACTTTGCCGTGTTTGATGGCCACGGAGGGCTTGATGCTGCCGTCTATGCAGCCACCCACTTACACGCACATCTCTTGGCCGACAAGTTGTTTCTCACTGACCCGGCCGCTGCCATGAAGCAGGCGTACAAAACTACAGACATCAAATTTTTGGAAAAGTCAAAAAGAGAGGTAGCTTGCTTTTGCCAGATTAACTAACCATACTCTTTTGATTTAGTGCAATTAGCCTAATGCTGAGTGATAATTTATGGAAAATTTATTTCCAGAATTTGAGGAGTGGAACAACTGGTATCTCTGTATTGTTACGTGGGTCTGAGATGCTGATTGGCTGGTTGGGAGACTCTCAAGCTTTGTTGGTTAGGTCAGGCGAACCAGTCCAAATCATGGTCCCCCACAAGCCTGAGAGGGAGGTAAGTCACAGAATCCATTTAACCCACTATATTGCTTCCCTGTCATTATTGCTTAATTTTTTAAACTTTTCTTTTTTAAAATGTTTGCAAAATCTATTTTTAATTACATGTTTTTTGTATTGTTAGGATGAAAAAAGACGAATAGAAGATTTAGGCGGGTGTGTTCTCTTCAGTGGTACTTGGCGAGTCAATGGCCACATGTCTGTGTCAAGAGCAATAGGTTGGTCTTTGTTTACTCTTACTGCAGCTGCTGCATGTCAGTCATGTTTTGTTTGAAATTGGTTGTCTCAGCAACTGATATGTTGATAATTGTTTTATAGCAACTGATGATTGTTCAATACCAATTGACAATGGCACTATGGCGATTGTTTTACAGCAAGTGATATGTTTTGTTCAGGTGATATCAGCCAGAAGCCGTTTATATCCAGTGATGCGGATGTGACCAGCCTGCAGCTGACAGGGGATGAGGAGTACCTGGTGATTGCTTGTGATGGCCTCTGGGACGTCCTCACTCCACATCAGGTTGGTTCAATATCCTACAAAATAACCTACTCAATCTTTTCACCTTTGTTCACCTACAAAAAAAATTCTGTCACAATTAGCAGATCATTGTTTTTTTTTATTTTATTTTTTTTAAATTAGTTAATTTGCCAGTTTTACAATCATCCAGCATCTGACCATCATATAACAACACTAGCCAGTTAATGTTTTCAATGGTCCTGCATCTGACCCCCCCTTCTACCTCTTACCACCAGGTCACAGAGATTGTTTACAAACATTCCTTGACCAGTCTGGACAACGTGGCTGTTGGACTGGTCAATGCTGCAAGAGACTCCGGCTCCTCAGACAACATCTCAGTCATCGTGGTCATGTTCCAGACAGCCCTGTGTCAGCCCAGGACAGCCACGGACGGGGCCACCCTACTCGGCCTCTCCTCCGAGAGCTCACTATCATCTAGTTCATTCCCTAAAGCCCAGCCACTGGGCGAGATAACTAGAAACAGCAAAAGTGGACCAAAAGACAATTCTGTAGGCAGCATTCAGTATGTGCAGACAATGCACGTGACACTGCGGCAGCCAATTGGTTGACGTGTACTGGATTTTACGCTACCTCATGTCGCTATGGTGCCATAAGGAAAATTGTTGCATGCGCTGAAAGGTTGTGGACAGTCACCGTCCGGTTTTATCTTGTATCACAAATTGTTATCCCTGCCCTCACAAGCATCGACTATTTAAATTTGAGCAGTATTTTTTTTTTACCCTTGATGTATATTGATCTCTGTGTTGGGCATAACTGTTCACATGGCAAGTTTTAAAGGGTTGATTGTCGTCTTATCATCAGGTTTGTCTATTTGAGCACCCAGCTTTGGCTAACGGCATTGCTTCTTTATTACATATCATATATCAAATATTTTTAGTCTTCAAACATTTTATAACTGTGAAACATACATTTTATTATCAATTTTTTAATTTTTATTTAGTTGACGTGCAATGATAAATTATCATATTTTACAACTAAGTAAAAATTAGATCTGTGCTGTATACCAATTAAGATTTAGTTCAGAGTAAATTTTAAACATAGTTTTACTGAATTTTTTTGTTGTTGAGTTCATTAGTTTTTGTTATTGATATATTTATTAAAATGTTTAGCTAGTTTTAATGCCTGAATTTACAAATGATATTTCTTCTAGGGCATTGCTGTTCATAATTGTTACATTTAGGTAGCACTGAGACTAAAAGCCTTGTTTAAATTTCATGAAACTTTATGTTAAATTTTTATTCAGTTTTTATTTACCTTACCTTGGTCGTTATGAAATTGGTAAAAACTTGTGTTCACGTTATTGACCATAGCAAATATTTATATTAATACCACATACAACTGTAACCACATATGAATTGGTGCTACTGATATCTCCACCATTGAATGCCATGTTATGATCATATATATATATTTATATGTACCCTATCACACATTAATCACGTACTCATATTTATCATGTAAGACCAACTAACCATGTCATACGACTGACTTTTGGGTGATTCAGGGGCCAAGACGTTTTGTTTATCAGCTATGTCCAGGTTGACTTGACTTTTTATCAAACTGTTGAACATGTAATTCAGTGTCTGAATACACTGCTACATGTAATATCTTTTTTTCTACCTCACTAATCAAAACCCTGTAAAATAAATGTACAACTGTTCCTCATTGACAAGACCTTTCATGTACATCTGTTCCTCATCGACAAGACTATGTTCAACTGTTCCTCATTGACAAGACCTTTTATGTACAACTGTTCCTCATTGACAAGACCTTTGATGTACAACTGTTCCTCATTGACAAACCTTTCATGTACATCTTATCCTCATCGACAAGACCTTTTATGTTCAACTGTTCCTCATTGACAAGACCTTTTATGTACAACTGTTCCTCATTGACAAGACCTTTGATGTACAACTGTTCCTCATTGACAAGACCTTCATACACTATCACTAAACCTGACAAGATTTTTCCTGCACCTAAGACCTCTCATAATTGTAATCATCCCCATCACCATGTACTAATATATAGGGCTTATATTTATAACTATTTAATCATTTTTAACCATTGTCCTTACCCAACCATGTAACCTTATCTACCACTGGAGGTGGGAAGCCCTGACTACACACTAGAAGTCCTTCAGTTCAACAGCTACTTATCAGGACTGAGAACTTCAGTGTGGAGCACTACAAAGAGATTTTATTTTAACTGTGTAGTGCACTGTTTTGGTAACATTTTGTTTCAGCAAAAAAAAAAAGAGAATTCCCTGTACTGTTAATCACATTTAATGAGAGTTGTCTCTCTTTAGTTATGTAAATATTTGTTATTTGTTAAACTCAGTGTGGCAGCTTCTAATCATATCACATTTCTTGCATGTAGTTATGGTTCAGGGATTTCACAGGTCTGGTGCAGATGAACTGTTAAATGCTTTCTTATTGAACAAGTTTCTTTTTTTTTTTTAATTGAATACTCACTTCCCCCATAAAGTATTCAGAGGAACCCCCTTAAAAAAACAACAAACAATTTATATTTTGTTAGTGATGTTTCTTGTTAAAGATACAAAAATGTGGTAACAAAATTTGTTGTTGTACATTTTTTTTAAATTGTCTAAGGACAAAATTTTTTGTTACATAGATTTAAACATAAGTACAATGAGATCCCCCCCTATTTTAAAGCTGCTTGATTGACCGTAGTGTTCCTGTATATAAATGACATTTGTTTACTTGGGGTGTGATGTGTGAATTTAATGGAAAACTAGAAGGATGTGATACTTGATGTTGGTTCCTTCCCATTAGTTGGATGTTTGTTGTAGGCTGGTTTCTCCCCATTTGTTGGATGTGATACTGATGTTACAGAAAGTGATATTGTGTCAGCCCTATGTATACACCACCAAGACTTACATTAAAATTTGATACAGCAGCTCTCTAGTCTGTGTTATTTCTGACTAATTAGACAAGGAACAGCGAATTCTTTAATTTTTATCAACCATTAGCTAAAAAACAAGAATTAATTTGATGATCTCCAAAATGAACTTTATACCCTTTCATACCAGCATTCACGCACAATAAATAATTGACCAGACATTCATGTATTCAAGATAACATTTTTGTCTGGTCAGCTCAGGATGACCCAGTTACCACTATCAAAGAATGCACACCACTAAAACATCAACTACTTGCAAAAAGTGAACAAAATCATAAGAAACAAAGGATTTCCAAAGTGTAAAAACTTGAAATAGGCTGTTTGCAAAACAAATTGAAATAAGTTGTTTGATGAATGAGTATTGGACAATGTATTCAGCCTTGATGTGCCATGTCCATGTGTGAAGCTGTTGTCCAGTGCTGTAAGCTGTTTTCTACTGCTGTCAAACAGCTGATGAATCTTCTGGACTGTCAGGTCTACAGAAAGTAAATTGTTTTATTAGACCACAATTGGTGAATCTTGAGACTCTTGTTACACAAGTTTCAAATTTTATTTTGTGAACTGGTCTGACAATTGCATGTTTTGTCACTCTTATAAAGTATGAATAAGTTGCCATTGGTTTAATGCTACTTTAGAGATCATAAAATCTTATCTTACGTGTGTGTAGAAAATCTAGGTTTAAGTGTTATCACATGACCTCACCTGTGTGAAAGTGTAAGAAAATGACCTCACCTGTCTGTAAGTACTAAACTGACCTCACCTGTGTGTAAGTGTAATCAAAAGACCTCACCTGTATGTAAGTGTAATCAAATGACCTCACATGTATGTAAGTGTAATCTATGACCTCACCTGTGTGTAAGTACTTAACTGATCTCACCTGTGTGTAAGTGTAATCAAATGACCTCACCTGTCTGTAAGTACTAAACTGACCCCACCTGTGTGTAAGTGTAATCAAATGACCTCACCTGTCTGTATTGTTATCTTGGCTACTGTTTCCACTCTTCTTGTTGTTGACATTTGCGCTGGTGCCATCAGGACAGGCTGGGGTGGACTGGCCATCTCCGTTGGTTCGGCCACCCTGTGAGTGAGGGGCGGGGCTGGGCAGGGCGACTGAGGGAATCTTGTCCTTGTCCTTCTTGTCCTCCTTGTTGTGCTTGAGGAAGTTGAAGGTCCATGTCTGCAGGTCTATAGGATGACAAGAGGATCAACATTTGTTATACAAGTCTCAGCAATCTTCACTCTTATCCTAACATGCTAGTAGACATTGATTAGCTGAGGTTTTGATGTGTGATTGTGTGTTCAGTAGATCAGCTCATCAGTTTAAACATGAAAGAACCATTGGTTGATGTATACAAAGGACTTTAGCTGTTCAGGACAACCTTGCCAGTGATTGGTACCATTAACACGACAGAACAGTAAATGTCATGTCAGATTCCATTAACATTCAGATTATGATGACAGAACAGTGAATGTCATGACATATTCCATTAACATCCAGATAATGACAGAATAGTGAATGTCATGACAGATTCCATTAACATTCAGATAATAATAACAGAACAGTGAATGTCATGACGGATTCCATTAACATTCAGATAATGATGACAGAACAGTGAATGTCATGACAGATTCCATTAACATCCAGATAATGACAGAATAGTGATTGACATGACAGATTCTATTAACATTCAGATAATAATAACAGAACAGTGAATGTCATGACAGATGACGTGACAGGTCAGTAACTGATTGAACACAACATGATTCATTCCATGCCTGGTGAGGCAGACAAAACTTACTGTTGTGAGTGGTGTCTTTCTTCAACGTTGATGTAGCCCCTGCGGTTGAAGCTCCACTGGATGGTGCTGCACCTCTTTTGGGGGACTTGACGTCACGCTTGGCTGGCTTCTGTTGCTCACATTCTGGCTCAGCTTTTCTGTTTGAGAAAACAACACGTCAATTTGATAAACATAGCACGGCACATCTATGGAGGGCACAGCACACAGTTCATTGATAACATAGTGGGACTGCAGCATAGTTAAAACAGATAATCAACAGTCAGAGAAGTAACTTCTCTGCTTTTTTTTTTACTCTTCCTAAAATTTGCAGGAAAATTTTTTAATAAAGAACAATTAGTTTCAGTTCTCTACAAATGCTGTTATTAAACACCTAATTTTAATGTTATTTGTAGTTTATTTCTTGATTTTAAAAACAAAATCAAGATTTGTATGGTCTTTAAACACAAAATAATGACATGGGTGTATTATGATTTGGCTCCACACAGAAGTGGTGGTGTGCTGTATTCTAAAGATGCTTGTAAGATGGTGATAGGAAGGTTTATAGGAGGACATGATGTTCTCTACTTACAAGATCCTGGGCCCAATGGCTGTAGAGGCAATGCTGGTGGAGTTGAGGTCATATTCCTCTAGTGTCATCAGATCCTCCAGGCTGGCCTCATCTGTCAAACAAAAACTGATGTACATGCATGTCTAGAACAAAAACTGATGTACATGTATGTCTAGAACTCACCACCACACTCAGTGTTACTGATAGATGGCTTATAGAGGCCATCTGTCAAACAAAAAACTTTTGTACATGCATGTCTAGAACAAAAACTGACGTACACGCATGTCTAAAACAAAAACTGATGTACATGTATGTCTAGAACAAAAACTGATGTACATGTATGTCTAGAACAAAAACTGATGTACACGCATGTCTAGAACACTCACCACTACACTCAGTGATAGATGGTTTATAGAGGCCATCTGCCAAACAAAAACTGATGTACATGCATGTCTAGAACAGAAACTGATGTACATGTATGTCTAGAACAGAAACTGATGTACATGTATGTCTAGAACAGAAACTGATGTACATGTATGTCTAGAACAGAAACTGATGTACATGCATATCTAGAACAGAAACTGATGTACATGCATGTCTAGAACAGAAACTGATGTACATGCATGTCTAGAACAGAAACTGATGTACATGCATGTCTAGAACAGAAACTGATGTACATGCATGTCTAGAACAGAAACTGATGTACATGTATGTCTAGAACAGAAACTGATGTACATGCATGTCTAGAACAGAAACTGATGTACATGCATGTCTAGAACAGAAACTGATGTACATGCATGTCTAGAACACTCACCACCACACTCAGTGTTACTGATAAATGGTTTATCAAGTCCAGGTCATAGTGACATAAGGAAGACACAGAGCCTGGAACTAACCACCTGCTCACAGCAGAGAACCAGTGTCTCTGACCTTGACCTACCTGAGTTGGCCACTCCTGTATGAGATGGTCTGCTGTAGGAATCTCTGAACAGGTTGGTGGGCTCTGACCTTGACCTACCTGAGTTGGCCACTCCTGTATGAGATGGTCTACTGTAGGAATCTCTGAACAGGTTGCTGGACTCCGACCTTGACCTACCTGAGTTGGCCACTCCTGTATGAGATGGTCTACTGTAGGAATCTCTGAACAGGTTGGTGGGTTCTGACCTTGACCTACCTGAGTTGGCCACTCCTGTATGAGATGGTCTACTGTAGGAATCTCTGAACAGGTTGCTGGGCTCCGACCTTGGCGATGTTGTTTCAAGAGAATTCCTCAAAGGCTGCACTATAGCCTGGATGGTGTACTTGGACTTTTTGCCTAATTAGGAGGAAAATGTTGAGAAGACGTCAGTTGAGAGACAAACAAAACTATTTTAACCAGCTACAAAAAGAAATGTCAATGTCATTGTACAAAAATATTCAAACAGCCTTACCATTTCTAAATTTACGAGCCTCAGTTTCATTGGTGACAGCAGCATTAGCAACAGCGTTGGTTGAGGCCGTCAACTCATTGAACCTGAAGAAAGGGAGAGGGGGACTCTGATCATACAGTTATAGAGGACGTTACCCAATCAACCAAAACCATTGTGTCTGATACTTATTGCAAAGGCAACTAGCGATCTTTTTTGAACAAGCTTATATTTCTATAATTTAAGAAAAAAATTAGAATGCGATGCTCGTTATGTAAAGCTGGTGTAAGTTCTTCATGAAAATAAAAATAGGGTGGTAGAAAGTGCAAGAACCTCTGCTGGAACTGTTCTAGAACATCAGGTTTCCTGGCATCAGGCTTGTCCCTCCAGTGATCCCCACCCACAGGCTCCTCCAGTAGAGTTCCAGTCAGGACAAGGTCATCAAACGAGGCGCCATCAAATGTTGCACATACACCGGACACACCTGCAACAAACAAGTACATTGATCATGTGACCTTATTTATGTTCTCACCTATAGAACATGTCCTAGCCTATATAAACTTTGAACACATCTATAGGCTGTGTGCTCATTGACTTAAAATTGGTACACACCTACAAACTGTGTGCTCCCTGACCTACACTTTGTACTCACCTACAGGCCGTGTGCTGCCTGTGCGTGCTACTGACTTGTCATTATTGCTGAAAGGTTTATCAATGTGCCAGTGACTAGTCCAGTTGTCGTCATTGTTTTCATCTGCTGTTAAACACAGACAAAAATTAGTCAACAACTTTGGGTACATGCACTGAAAAAAGGTACTACTAACTCACCATACTACAAAGTAATCACCATACTTGTACACAGGTAATCATTATGCCTGTACATATGTATAACTGTCTGTAGAGAGAGATTCCTGTACAAAGTAATTGCCATACTTGTACACAGGTAATCACTATGCCTGTACATATGTAAAACTGCCTGTAGAGAGAGAGAGAGAAACACCTTACCTATACTAGTGTGACGTAAATGGCTGATGGCTTCCTGTAGTGACCAGGCACCCGGCCTATCAGAGGAATGATGTTCTAGGAACTGGAGCAGGGAAGCTTCTTCATCTTTCTTTTGGCTGAAGTTAGACATTTTTTTTTAAAGCACCTTAATGCTAGCATCACTTTTGGCTGAAGTTAGACATTTTTTAAAATCAATAAAACAATTACTGATTGTTAAAAATTAATGAGCAAAACATTGTAGTCTGGTTTTACAATGACTTCTCTGTGATTAAGACTGTGATTAAACCCTGAGATTAGACCCTGAGATTAGACCCTGAGATTAGACCCTGAGATTAGACCCTGCGATTAGACTCTGAGATTGAGTACACAAGCCATGACACACAGCCTAGTGGCCATACCTTGAAGGTGGCTGGGACAAGTTGTTGGAACCTTTCCCAGGGCGTGTCTTGCCTGCGGAGCTGGTTGGTGCCAGGGACAGGACAGCATCATCCCACTGTATGGCATGTTCCACATCATTATCTACAGACCTGGTGACACAAAACATAGGACATTAGCACATGATGACATGATATTTTAACATATTAACATTAGCATTTATTTTCATATAATGATATTAGCGTATGACATTTTTACATGACATTTGTTGTCAGATGAAATCAGAAATATATAGCTAACACATAAGGCTACAAGAATGTATTCTTCATAATACCCAGCTAGTTGTTTCTCACCAATAGTTGAAAAAAAATTAGGAATGTCTTTTGAATATCAACTAACTCTATTAAGAAAAGAAAATTATTTTAAAAAATTACATTGTTTCCTCATCAATGTCATTCTCATCAGCATTCAGGACGTTGTCAATACCCTCGACTGAGATGTTGCGTAGGTCTTCTAGCTCACTGGGGTTCAATGACCTCAAGAAGGCAACATTTTTCTGGGAAATGGCAAGGTACTTTAAAAACAAAGGATCTCACAAAGATCCTAAAAGGTTATAAAAGATCCCAACGATCATACATATCCTGAATATCAGACAACTTCCCCTAGACTTAAAAAACCTATCGATTGTATTAGATCTTAAAAATTCTACCAAATTAGTACGTTACAAAATATCCAAAAGTCCAAACAATCCCCCTACAAGATATGAAACAAGTACCTGACTATACTCCACAGCCTCCGAGTCAGTATCATCCGATCCACTCAAGCTCTCCGCATGCCTGTCCTCCACATCATCCTCCTCATCATCGTCCTCCTCTGTCTGTAGGTCTAGCCCAGCCAGGGGTTTGGATGAGGTGGAAACAGCTGGTGTAGTTGGTGTGGTGGCAGTTGATGGTGATGATGAGGTGGACGAGGCAGGGGATGAAGCCAGGGCTGTAGAGCCGGAGTTGTCCTGGGAATCGTTCAGTGGCACTTCAGGAACTGCAACAAACAAAAGTAGGTTTACAATCTCTACTCTATTCATATCTAGGGAAAGAGACAGGGGGCATTTTATTAGAAGTTGTAAGAAAAAACAGAGGAAACAGAGGGATAAGGACACAAAATATGAAACAAAAAGCCTTAGAAAGAAAACAGAAATGTATCAGTTAATATCCTACCTAAGAGATTGGCTTTCTTGCTTGTGTTTCGTGACATCTCCAACAGAAGCCGCTGTTAAAAAAAAACAATTTTACCATAAATAACAGACATATCATTCAATCTTTCTTTAAAATTTACTTGTCAAGGAAAATCTATATAATAATATGCATAAACAAGTGATATTTTTGTTTTTTTAACTTTCATGTACCAGAAAGTTTTTTTATAACTTAAAATACTGCATTACTTTGAGCATGTTTTAAAATAGATCCCAGACACTCATTTTTAAAGAAATTGGAAGATCAAGCAAAATAATAAGATGGTTTCTGGTACTTAAACTTTCTAGCAGACAGACACACTACTATCTTTCAACTCCCCAACTGAAGGCACTTGTATCTACAAGAAAAAGCAGCTATCTTTTCAAAACTTCTCAAAAGTTGGCTTACATCTTTCAAGTCATTATTCTGGTGAAGATATTGAGCCTGTAATGCTTCTAGTTGATTGATGTACCTGTTAATAAAAAGTTTGTTCAAGAAGTGAGATGTGTACTGTAAGTTTACTATGTGATGGATACATTTTCCAGTTATATCAAAGTACAAAAACATAAGGTGATATTTTAAAAATATATTTTATGTTTTGTAACATGTATCAAAAATGATAGGGTAGAAATAATAAAATAGATCTAAAATTAGAGACAGCTTCTCTAGTTTCCAGGTTTTTAACAAATATTGTCCCCTATAGTTTCAAGTGTTATTAAAATATTTGTATCTAAATGATAAAAGAGTAAACACATCCCCCCACCTGTTGCCTCTGATTAAAGGATCTTACCATTGTTGATCTCTACACTTCTGGTAAAAGGTCGGAGGTCGCACCTGGAACCTGAGGACTAGGGTATCAGCCTCTGGCTTAAGGTAGCCTTCGTTAGCCAGCAAGTCCAGGCGGAAAAATCTGTTGTAGCCCCAGCACTCTCCCACCTGTCAGCATACAACAGAGTTATGTTAACCAACATATCTGGTAACACACAGCACAGAGATAATCTGTTGTATCCCCAGCACTCTCCCACCTGTCAGCATACAACAGAGTTATGTTAACCAACATATCTGGTAACACACAGCACAGAGATAATCTGACCAAACACACAGCTTTAGGATGTCAAGTCACCATACAACATAGTTATGTTACCCGACATGTCTGGTAACATACAGTACAGAGATAATCTGACCAAATACACAGCTCTAGGCTGTCAAGTCACCATACAACAGAGTTATGTTAACCAACATGTCTGGTACACATAGTACAGAGATAATCAGACCAAATACACAGCTCTAGGCTGTCAAGTCACCATACAACAGAGTTATGTTAACCAACATGTCTGGTACACATAGTACAGAGATAATCTGACCAAATACACAGCTCTAGGCTGTCAAGTCACCATACAACAGAGTTATGTTAACCAACATGTCTGGTAACACACAGTACAGAGATAATCTGACCAAATACACAGCCATAGGCTGTGAAGACTGAAATCCTTTACAGTTCTGGGCTAAAGGCTGAAACCTCAGGATAACATAACAATTGTTCTTTAGGTACTAAACTAAACAGATAAATTACCATCTCATGACTACAATAAAAGGCTGATAAACTTCTTACTTCAAAGTCAGAGGCAAATTCTCTGACAATATTTTTGGTCCAGTCCCTTGTAGCTTGGTGGACCATCTCTACTCTATATTCATATCTAGGGGAAAAGAAGGGGGGCACTTTATTAGAATCTGTATTCAAAGACATTGAGAAAGGAAGACAATAAAAATACATTATGAGACTAAAAGCCTAACAAACAAAACAAAAATGTACTACAGTGAAACTTACTTGGATGTTTCAGGTAGACCAGCTGAAAGTTCTAGAAACACAGACAAATAGTTGCCACGCACCACACCGTTGCCATCCTAGATAAACAAACAATATCAGTCAGACTATCAAGTTCATGAAAACATGTCTAGAACAATCACTTTTTTTTAAGATATGAAAGAACTGTTTAAAATATGGAGTGTCTTTTTTTAAAAATAATATAGGTTTCTATTCAGCCCAAGTAACTAAATAGAACTTTAAGCCTCCAACTAGCTAATACTACACGTAACTCACTGGGTACACTTTAAGCCTCCAGCTCAGCCCATGTACAAACAATATGGGGCTATACACTGGGTCTGCCCTCTGTCTCAGCACTGAAAAGTTTTTCATCACAAAGGTGCTGGTGTCATACTGGGGGACAATTTCACTGAAATAAAAACATCAAATGTCATACTGGGGGACAATTTCACTGAAATAAAAACATCAAATGTCATACTGGGGGACAATTTCACTGAAATAAAAACATCAAATGTCATACTGGGGGACAATTTCACTGAAATAAAAACATCAAATGTCATACAATTCTACAAAACAAAAACTATTTCACTGAAATAAAAACACCTCTCAATAGTTGTGATAAACCTGATTGATCAGATACATTGTGTGACTGACAAGACTGACAGGTGCTAGAGAAATTACCTGGTGAAGTCAGCTGGCACTGGTGTGGTGACAAACGAGGAGGTTGACTGCCTGTGGGCTGTACGAAACAGTTCCAGCAAGTCCTTGCTTCTCATCACCAGCTCCGCCTTGCCGGCATCCCTCAGGTCAGCCTCCACCTTCTCAATGGCCGACTCCCACACACTCACTTCCTGGGACAGCTGATTTCTCTGGCCTGAAATTTGTCACAGTCAAATCAGATTCAAATCAATTCTATTTCAATAAAGTCATATGTAAATCAGTTAATTTTATTAAAGTCACATTTGAATCAGGTCAAGAAACTTTCAGTTAATCAAAGCAACTTATTTCACATCAAATGAAGTCACATTCAAATATGTTACTTCATTTAAAGTATGAGATAGCTGCTACCATCAATTTAAACAAAATTGTTCCAAAATGTATGGATGCTCCAAAAACTGAGTTTAATAAACTCAAGCAGTGTAAATTTAAATTAAGGTCAGACTTCTAATCTGATATTCAATAAAACAATATTTAGTTTGATGTACTGGTAGAACATATTTAGAGCAACTTTAGAAAGGAAATAGGAAAGATTATCATTAGACAAGCAGTGAAGTGGAACACATAAGGATGAGAGAGAACTAAAGGACAAAAAGGCATGGGTAGATAAGTCAAGATGGACATAGGGAAATAAAGAATGGGAAGATCACTCCTGATGGACATAGGGAAATACTAGTAAAGCAGTGGGGGTCGTCATCATGGGACTCACCTACAAGAGTCAAAAGTTTACTTTTCAGCTGAGCTTCCAACCTGGCTATCATCAGCTCTACGGCGTTTCGAATTTCTCGCACTCTTTCTTCTTTTGCATTCTTCACACTTTCAATGTTGCGCTCCTAGAAACAGACAAAAGTGGGCAAAAATTTCAACATAGAAGCTCATCACTAACATAAATATATTGCCTAAATATATGGCACTAATTGCAATTAAAATGGTGTGATTATCATTAAACTGGGATAGCCTGGTTGAGCAGTAAAGTACACAACTGCTAACCCAAACTCCTGAACTCAATTCCCTGACTCAAGCTCAAGTCTATTAGATGTTCTTAAGGCCACCCAGCTCTGACTATGTCAACTCTACTTCATCTACGATATTGACCTTGAGGTTTGAATGGGTAATTTTATTTATTTACACAATATAGCAACATTTTTTAACCAAAAAAAGGTTTAATCTATGGACTTCTATTTAAAGCTAGGACCTACCACATCCTGCACCAGACATATGAGCTCTATATGCTGTGACTTGAGCTGACTCAGCTCTGCTGACAGTTTGGACTTGTGTTCTTCATAGATTCCTTCTAGTGGTTTAAATGTGTGCCCTGAATGCTGAAACACAACATTTGCTTTTATTTAATGGTTAAAGGTGGAACAGTCTTTAGGTGGAAATCATAGGGACAGTCACACAAAATACAGGAACATATTTCATGAAATTCAATGAGAGATTATAGTTAAGAATACATTTTTGTGATAATTACAATGTTTAATCACATACAAACAAATGAGGGTACTACAAACACATACAAACAGGTGAGGGTACTAAAAACTTACTGTCCCTCCCCAGAGACTACATACAACATTTAATCACATACAAACTGGTGAGGGTACTACAAACACATACAAACAGGTGAGGGTACTAAAAACTTACTGTCCCTCCCCAGAGACTACATACAACATTTAATCACATACAAACAGGTGAGGGTACTAAAAACTTACTGTCCCTCCCCAGAGAGCACATACAACATTTAATCACATACAAACTGGTGAGGGTACTACAAACACATACAAACAGGTGAGGGTACTACAAACACATACAAACAGGTGAGGGTACTACAAACACATACAAACAGGAGAGGGTACTAAAAACACATACAAACAGGTGAGGGTACAAAAATCACATACAAACAGGAGAGGGTACTACAAACACATACAAACAGGTGAGGGTACTACAAACACATACAAACAGGTGAGGGTACTAAAAACTTACTGTCCCTCCCCAGAGAGCACATACAACATTTAATCACATACAAACAGGTGAGGGTACTACAATCACATACAAACAGGTGAGGGTACTAAAAACACATACAAACAGGTGAGGGTACTAAAAACACATACAAACAGGTGAGGGTACTAAAAACACATACAAACAGGTGAGGGTACTAAAAACACATACAAAAAGGTGAGGGTACTAAAACACATACAAACAGGCAAGGGTACTACAATCACATACAAACAGGTAAGGGTACTACAATCACATACAAACAGGTAAGGGTACTACAATCACATACAAACAGGTGAGGGTACTAAAAACACATACAAACAGGTGAGGGTACTAAAAACACATACAAACAGGTGAGGGTACTACAAACACATACAAACAGGTGAGGGTACTAAAATCACATACAAACAGGTGAGGGTACTACAAACACATACAAACAGGTGAGGGTACTAAAAACTTACTGTCCCTCCCCAGAGAGCACACTGATGACATATGCAAAGTTTACATGTCCAGCAGTAGACACTAAGTTTCTCTTGATGTTCATTACATCTGGGGATAAATGAACGGACATGTAGATGATTGGATGGATGTGCAGATGGATTTGTGGATGGATGGATGAGTGGATAAATGGATGGATGAATATACACGAGGAGGATGGATGTGTGAATGGAGGATAGATGTGGATGGATGATTGTGTGGATGTCAGCATGAGTGTGGATGGCTGTGGGGAGTCTAGACTAAGCAGTGTTACTAACATCTTACAAAGTATACATCTATGTTAAGTCCTCTTAGTACACTGACTTGCGTTAAGCCCTGGATACAAAGTACTGACAGCTACACGTTTAAAATTTCTATAAAAAATATCCTAGAGTACAGGATAAAAAGGATCTAGACAGCAAAACCTGGCTTACATTTCTTTTCTTGATGGGCCATCACCTCGAGATTGTGGGGTTGAGTGTTGCAGTGTGTCCAGCTGTTGAGTTACTTCCTCCGCCCAGCGACAGTTGACCAACTCGTGGATGTGCAGGGATGCTCTATAACAAACCAGCCGGATCATTAATAATTGTTCATTGATGATAACACATGTTGAATTAATTTAAGGTGAAATAACAGAAATAAATAATTTGTATTTGTTAGTAGTGTTAGGTGAAGAATAAAAATAATAGGGACATTTATTTTTTGTGACAGAAATTGAAAAAAGACAATTGAATTAGTAAAAATGATGTGATTAAACTGTTTAATTTTTTTTTTAAATTATGATGAGAGGGTGATGCAGGGACATAACTCTAAGTTTATTGTTATTCTTAAAGTGGATCTCCAGATTCTGACATTATATAATTCATTTTAGTGATGACATTTAGGTACTAATGTTTTTTACTGCTAGGCAAATGGGCTCAAATATCAAACTAAAACAATAAGTGAAACAAACCTGCAGTGTGGGCACTGAGATCTTTGCTCTGTCAGCCACCTCTACACAGATAATTAGAGAAGTTAAAAAAGGTTACACAACACACTATACAAAAAAAAACTTCTAGCTCATCTATCTCGACTATTTCTCTCAACAAATACCAGACTTGACCCACACAGACTTACCCGTATACATGGAAAACAGCAGAGCTTTGAGCAGTGAGGACACAGGCGTGCATCACGCAACTTTTCCATACAGATGAAACATCGAAACACTTCTGCAAGACTCTGTAACACAAAGCAATCAACAGGTTAATCCTCAGGTAAAAAAAGCACTGCACACCACCAGGGAAGATAGCCCTACATAAGCCACTGCAGTCCTACCTGTGCAATGATAGTTCTACTTGGGCTATGACAGTCCTACCTGAGCAAAGATGACTTCATTGTTGCTGAGGACTTTGTCCCGCACCACGTCCAGATTGGACAAGAGAATTTCTTCTAATGTGATGCTGGACACTTGACTGGAGCCTAGAAAACTGTCATAGTCGTAATAGTGAACAGATTTCTTGGTGGCCCTCATGACCTGCTTGGTTGAACTTGCTGCCTCTGCTGGTTTGGTCACACCCACAGCTGGACCAGCTCGTGGTGTGGCAGTTTGTTTTAAAATACTTTTACTCTCCATGGCGGCACCTGTTACTAAATTACCCTCCTGCTGCCTGACTTTTTTGCTCTCTACCACTGCAGCTATTATTTTACCCTCATGCTGCCTCAGTGTTTTGCTCTCCATAACTGCCGCTGCCATGGAATAATTAAGCTTGACCATGTCCGAGGATGACGGACGAGGCCGGTAGTCGGATCTCTGGTTGGGGAGCCTGGTGTCAGTGGGTGAGGTTTTGGGTGTGGTGGCCGCACTGCTGCTGCGCTGTGGGGAGCTGGCCTGGCTCAGGGAAATGTTGTGTTTGCCGTGAGATGGGGAGAAAAGGGCGGAGCCGTTCTGCTGGCCAGAAAAACTTTCTATAGACCTACTCCTCGGCTGCACGGCTTTGGCCAGCAAACCATCAGACTTTCTGGCAGTGGTCTCTCCCACTCTACAGCTTCCAGATAAGCGTGTTTCATGTAATCTGTAAGTCAAAAACATGTGTTTACTTTCTCCAGGCTTGAGGGTGTGTGACCCCCTTCCCGCACCCCCGGGCTCCGCCACTTTGTGACCATCGTCCCTGCAGTTCTCAGCACTTCCTGCTCCACTGAGGAACCCAGAGTCGTTAGATTCTTCATGCCTGATGCTGCCATTTCTCTCACAGCCACCTGCTGCTGCTGTTGTGTTGGACTCAGACCTGGACTGGTACATCCCATAAGCCATGCCTGCAAAGAGGTCAGAGACTGATCTTTTCATGGGGTGCTCTGGGCTAATACCCAGGCTGGTCATGTCAACCATCTGACCCATCAGAGACGTCCTTGACCTTTCATCTAAACTGTTCACCGACAACGGCCTTTTCTTTTTACTTTTTTGCCTCATAGTTCTTCTATACATAGACATAGCTGGGATCTTCCACACGGCAGTAGTAAAAACTGGACTGTAGCTTACCTCTTTTACTTCATCACAAGCTGTACCTACTTAAACACTTTTAAATCTGACAATCTTACATTGAGGCGTATCCTAAATAACAAACACAGTCGAACTGCACTATCTTTGAAAAGTCACTCAGACACTAGACCTAGCACACGAAACTGAGAAAACTGTCCGAATTCGAAATCAAGCCATCTCATCGGCACCGCACGCTGCACAACATCGTGAACCCCATCAGCCACCGTTGTATTCCAGTACACGTCGCTTGGTCGAATGATCGGTTCTTCAGACTAGCGACTTTATATATACACGGGCCACTTATCTGAGGAGCGGGTGGTGGGGGAGACGGGCCGATCGTAAATTCAATGAAGAAAATGGGCAGTGCTAAAGGCCATGTCCAAATGGAATTGGGTGTTGTCGGGTGGTGTGGTCCATCACAGAGTCTAATGGACTAGAGACGGGCAGCGGTACTTGAGCTCATGTGTGAGTGATTGGTAGTCAGGACTCGCCACAAAACTACGTCACTCAGTCCAGCGGGAGGGTGGGGAGGAACAGCACAAACGGTGTTAAAGATCAGGCCGTTTCACGGGGGATAATCTTAAATTGACTAAAACAAACTCAAGCAATCAAGGATTGACAACCGGCAACAGATTCAATAATCGATACCCGGGGTGAAGGGGGAGGGGCAAAGACGGGGGGCGTGTCGTGAGATTTTGCCAAGAGTTAGGAAGAGCAGGAAAAAAAAATTCCAATACTTCACGTTGGGTTCCTGTGTATGTCACGTGACGTTTATATCTACATGGTGGAGTGGGGGGGGGGGGGGGGAGATGGGCATATATCAACGTCGTGCCCGTGATGAAAGTTGAATGAGACGACGACCTTTGAAAGACGGGAGTGGATCTAATATTGGCAAGGGTGGCCACTGGGAGTTTTACATTACGGCAATTTGGACGGGCGGGGCACAGGTCGATAATAATTGTTACAAGACTTATGTTCTTTGCTCATACTCAATCGCTCATTTGACCGAACAATGATAAATAGGCATACACAATAGGAACGCAAACAGCAATGACGTAATCACGTAATAAAAATCACACTAAAACCACATATTACGTACACAATACACTACTGCAATTTACATAAAGACAGAGAGACAGGCAGCCAGACAGATAAACGGTAAGACGGACAGACAGACAAGATGGACAGATAGACAGGAACACAGACAGACATACATGCCGACAGACACACATACATACAGGCAGACATGCCATGCATGCAGACAGACTTACATACATAGAGACATACAAATATACAGACAAACAGGATGTGGGTGCAGATATGACAGAGACACTGCCAATATTAAAAGAATAACATGACACTGAAAGAATAAAACATGCAGAGAAGACAACACCAAACACAAAGACTGTATAGTATTTAATTCTGTCTGTGTCGGCTGATTTTTCCCACCATTTCTCCCACCGTGTACTCATCAGCATACACAGGAACCATGTACACATTAGCTCACTTTACGATGAACACATCAGCTTACATCAAAACATTGTACACATCTTATGTCATCATATACACGTCTTGCATGGAAACCATACACTCAATTCACTTAGCAATTTACATGGACATCATGTAGACATATCTTACATACACATCAGTACACATATCTTACATACACTTCAGTACACATATCTTACATAGACACCATGTACACTTATCTTACATTAACAGTATAAATACCTTACATTTACACTATGTACACATATCTTACATAGACACCATCATATCTTACTTATACACCATGTACAAATCTTACATACACACCATATACACATCTTACATACTCACCATGTACACATATCATACATACACACCATGTACACATCTTACATATACACCATGTACACATCTTACACACCATTAACATAGCCTACATGAGGAGAGTAAAGGAGCGATGAACACACGAGGTGCAGACATAAAATGTTTCCCCACGAAGTGTACACTGAATAAAACAATGCTAATGGATGAGCTTAGATGATAATGACGTCCATTACGGCCATTCGTGACGTGCCCCGGGGACTGGGTCACTCACACGCACGGCGTCAGCTGATACAAACACTTTTTTTATTAGCCACCCCTTATGAATAATCCCATTGTGACGTCGTCGCTATGCAAACCTGTCTTGTCATTTCCCTTCGTTTTTATATTATATCTCCTATATCATCATGGATGTTTCTTTTTCTGTCACCCCCCCCCCCCTCCAATTCTCAGAGATTTATCTCCCTGCATGCCCCGTCCCCCTTCCCCTCGCATTTTGCATGTCTATTCGTTCTCATAGATTTACCTCCCTTCATGTCTCAACATTCTCACAAATGTATACCCCACCATCTCTCTTCTCGTCCTCATCTCCCCCCACCCACTAGATTGTACTACTCATCCCGACTCTTAAAGTTATTTTCAAGTGAAAGACTGATAGAGTTGATTTAAATCTATATATAAATCTATTTCAAATATCGTTAAGTAGAAGTGAACTGTAAATGGACAAAAAAAGTGTAATGTGATTAAATCCTACATCAAAAGAGAAGACAATGGGTCTTGGTGTCACCCCAGCTACCGGGAAATACAAACGAAAACAACAAAATCTGGGTATTTGTACAAAACTGCCTCTCATCCCTATATAACAATGGAGATAAATTACAATGAAATCAGTCTATGTGAGCTTTATGTATGTGTGTTACCAACGTAAGTAGTGTGTATACTTTATATAGACACGGTGCTTGTAACTGCGAACAGATTCGCACCAAAAACTACAGAAAGACATCACATTTGGAAAAAATAAAATAGACCTAGCAGGAAACTCAAACCAACCCCATCCTCAGACGAGCCGCTGTGTGATTTACACAACAAGTGTGCCGTGATGCTGGTATAAGCCACGTATTGTTGAGCTAAGCCTCCTACTTAATTAAAACTTCACAATGGCATTCTGCGATGAATGGGCAACATGTTTCTAGCTACGAGCAATCTCGAAATGGTTCGAATAACGAGCAATCAACGCTTGACAAATACAGCGACCTTTTCATCGTCCGCTCAAGTTGTCCTAAAAATGCAACAACCGTGCATGCAATAATAAAGTACTGTACCATTAAAATAATCTATATTTATAAAATGTGTACCTACGTTGTAAGCGATAGATGAAGGAAACAAAATCAGAGATTAAAGGTCATGAACTCGATGTGGACTACGACTTATTAAAATGCTGCATCCGACCAGAGAATAATAAAAAAAATTTAATTGAAAAAAAGAAATGTTAAATACAGTTAAAAATCCTTTAAAATAAAAAGACCATTTTTACATAATAACATTGTATTGATTTGTCTCCACTCAATCTATATTTAGCATTCAATACCAGTATTTGACAACTGAAATTTCCGAGGCTATTTAATCAGTATCTAGGCTTCCTTTGTTAGCATCACGTTGTACACAAACACAATAGGTATTTGATTACTAGGTCAGTATTAAAAGTAAGTGTTGACCGTTTGTGACGTACACATTGGAAGGTGTGGGAGGGTTGGTGCAAAATGGACGCGTGAAAAATGTGATGGGGGCATATATTCGAATTTTTGTGAAGACGTTATTTGTGGATGACTCCCCCCCCCCTTTTTTTTTGTTATCTTCTTTTAACAGACAAGCAACAAGAGGATCAAGAAAGATAACTCGTAAAATACAGAATTAGTTTTCTTATCACTTATCTCCCCTAGTCGAAGATACATTTTCAGGGCAGTGAAAAGTAAGCAACACATTGCGAAATAGTTTCATGATCTTATAAAGATATAAACTTAAAAATAAACCGTTCAAAAAACGTAGTATATAAATCCATAAACGCACAAAAATCGAAATTGTATCAACCACAGATTAATTAAAGTAGAATCCAATTCAGTTCAGACTTAACAATTAGTGGAACATGTTTTATTTTAATTCTTTGATGTAGGCCTATAACTCAAGTAATTTATTTAATTTTTTTTTCCAATATCCACCCTAGAGCTTTCAATTGGCATCACAGAAGACTGAATGTGGTTGGGGCAACTTCTACCACTACATTCCAGCTGTCTACATGACGTTATTCAACTTATTCTTGATTGTTCACTGATTAAAGCTAAGACCTCTAACAAAACACACTGATTTTTAATCCACTTTCATACAGTTTAAAACTGAACACAGAACTGAGCCCACTGTTGCTTCATCTGCAGTGGAATTATCTTTAACTTTATCAGGCCCAAAGGGATAACTTACAGGTACGTTGGGCTGCTAATAAATTACACACATTTTACACGTCTTCCATTTAAATATACACGTAATAAGTCTGATCACTTTATCTTCGCTAACAATGTTATTTTTTTTATCTAAAAGATCTTGACAGTATTTTTCAGAAAACTTCCATAATACTCCTACAAAACTTTCATATTTAAATACAAGTAATTTGCATAAATGTTTGAAACAATAAGCAGACTAAGCAGAATATAGGGGCAAAAGCATAATCAAGTTTACATCTTGGTCTAGTGTAATGAAATACATTTAATATACATACATGAATTAGGGATTTGATGATTCAATTTTCATCAAATGGTATTTCTTTTGCAAAACATGCTAGGAAATTTATCTATCAAATCCAACAGGCTTTTTATTTTTTATCATTATAAATTAACTAGCCATAGGTAGGCTACCCATGATGAATTATAGGCACATATATATTTTAATGTAATACTTGTTTGAGAAGAATGTTTTATAAAATAGTTATAGGTCAAAAGGCAATGTGCTTTACTACTTGTTGAACAATATTAGTGACAAAGCAAAGAAATAACTAAATAGCTAAATATCAGACACATTTAAAATAACATAGACTACTAATACCTATTAGAAAACCAAATTATATACATTATTAGTCAACACACCACCATATTAAATGCACACACTGATTAAGAGACTTATGTTGTTTTTTTAAAGTAATTTGTATT